CTTAAAGAACTCCCTCCAACATTTCCTGTAATTCTGGCTAGGTGGTGATAAATTCCTTTAGTTTATTTTTGTCTGGGAAGCTCTTTATCTCTCCTTCAACTCTAAATGATAGCTTTGCTGGATAAATTATTCTTGGTTGTATATCCTGGGTCTTTATTCTTTTGAAAAATGTTTGCCAGGCTCTTCTGTCCTGCATAGCCTCTCTCGAGAAATCAGCTGCCAGTCGTATGGGTGTTCCCTTACATGTAATTATTTGTTTTTCTCTTGATGCTTTTAATTTTTTTCTTTTTATTTAATCTTTACCATTTTAATTATGATGTGTCTTGGTGTGGGCCTCTTTGGATCTCTGATTTTTGGAATCCTCTGAGCTTCCTAGGGTTTTATGTCCATTTCCTTCACCAGGTTAGGGAAGTTTTTCATCATTATTTCTTCAAACAGTCATTAAACATCTTGATTTTCTTCACTTATGCCAATAGGATGAATATTTAGAGCCTTAACAGTGGCCCATATCCTGCTTAAATCATCTTTATAGTCTTGGCCTCTTTTTTCTTGCCATTCTGTTTGAATGTCCTGATGGACTTTCCTGTCCTCTAGATAGGGCATGTGATCCTGTTCTTTATTCACTTTGTTTATTTCATTTAATATACGTCTCATCTCAGATAATGTGTTCTCCATTTCAGACTGGTTCCCTCTTATAATCTCCATCTCCATTTTTATCTCTTTTTTGGAGTTTTCTACTTTTCCCAAAAGTTCATTGAGCATCTTTATAATCAGTGTTTTGAACTCCGCATCTGTTAAATTACTTGACTCCATTATATCTAGCAACCCTTGACCCCTCCAGGGCCACCTGTCAAGATTCAGCAAGCAATCCACAGATGCTGTGCTTATAGTTGCCTCAAAAGGCCACACCAGGAACTGAGGCCAGCTGTCTCCCATGTGAATCTAAGCGCTGCTCAGCAAGATGCATCTGACTCGCTGAGGACACACCTGGATGTGGCTTGGGTGGGGCCCAGGTTGGGGCTGGCAGGGTTTCCGGGAATCCTCTGGGCGAAGCGACCTGTTATCCAGTTTGATGACGTCACATCTATGGCGGCACTGTGTCCGCACACTGAGAGTGGGGAGGGCTCAACGGAACAATGGATACCGCCGGCAGTTCTGTACCGAGGGAGTCTCACCTCGACCCTCTCTCCGACAATGTCTCCTTGTAAATCCCTCGTTCCCCTCACACGCAGCCGGGTCGGCACTGGTGCTCAGAGCAAGCAGGTCTGTCGCCGCGAAAATCCGCTCAGGGACGCGGTCCCTTTAAGAGGCGTCTGCTGCTGCCGCAGCCTCTGTCTCAGCCGCTTGAGACCAGGTCGCCCCAGGTCCTCGCCCCGTCCTAACTTCTGCCATTGAGAGTGCTTTCTTGGATTTCTCCCTAGTTGTATGGCTTGTTCATCTAGATCCCAGATGATTTTTCTTTGCCGCGGCTCCTTGTTTCCATCACAACTTTGATTTGGTCGCCAGAGGGATGAACAGAGCCTTTATCATCTACGCCATTTTGAAGCACTCCCTCTGTCTCATGGTACTTTGATTATTAATCCAGCCATAAGAACTTAAAAAGTTAGGAGAAAAATTATTTTTTCTGCCTCCACAGTTTTGGCAAGCCAGACAGAAGAGAATGATCAAATTCATTACAAAGGTACATACAGGGGTTCCATAAGAATATGAGACTCACGGAGGCATTGGGCAGTTGAGGTTTATATGCCATTCCGGACTAAAGAAGGGGAGGCAGGGGTCTTGAATTTTAAAAGGGATATAGGCAATTCACAAGTAGATAAGAAAGAGCAAACATGTGGTACAAGGGTCTCCTATTCTTGTGGAACTCCCTTAGGTACATATGTAATGAATTTGGTCATTTTTCTTCTGTTAATTTAATCATTGGCACAGCCAAAACATAGAAAGGTAAGAGTAAAATTATTTTTTTCTGCCACCACACATGTGGGATTCCAGTGGCATCACATGTTAAAGTCACAGGATTTCTGATTGTCTGAACAATGACTTATTATTCAGGCTCTTCAAAACTGGAGAGAGAGAGGGAGAGAGAGAGACAGACAGACAGACAGACAGACAGACAGACATGAATTAGCTTCTTGAATCAATCACAAATATCACAATAAAGTTACTCAGGTTTCAGACTTCACTGTGCATCACAATCACCAGGATCCCTTCCTGAAAGCAAATTGTTTCTGCTTCTGGGACCTTCCCTTTCAGATTTTAATTCATTTGGAGGGCAGTTCTAAAGCTGCCACATTCTCAAGGATATGGTCATGGGACTGACCACACTTTGCAAAAAGCTGAATCTAATGGTTAAAAATGAGGGTAAAGGCATGCAGGAGACAATCATCTAGAAATTAGAGCATGAGCTTTAGGTGCCTTACTGGGCAGTAAGTAAACAGAGAAAGGGAGCAGGTGAATAGCTATACCTTGGTCTGGATGGGGGCTTACTCATCTACTAATTTAATAAGTATTTATTGTATGTGCATATGGATGAGGCACTGTGCTAGGCACTGGGGATTACCGGAGGAAACAAGACAAATGAGGTCCCTGTCCTCTTACTGACATGCTTTCTTAAAAGTCTCCATACCTACCTGTTAAAATTGCTGTGGCTGCTCAGTCCTATAGCCCCAAATGCTCCAATGATTCCACTGAAGGAAGGTTCTCAAACACAAGAAAGGAGAATAATAGAAGCCATGGCTATTTTGTTTTTTTCAAGACTAACCCTCTAAGAGATTCTGCAGCTGGAATTGAAGGCTTTCTCAGCCTTTCAGAAGCAGTGCAGAACACACTGGAGGTGCTTCCTACCTGGTATGGTTTGAGTTATGGGAGGGTGTGAGAGAGCAAAGCCTTCCCAGAGAAAGCCCTGTCAAGGTAAACATCTCTACAGCCCTGGTTAACCAAATGCCAATGTCCCCAGGAAAGAGCATCCTACAATGATACCGTGTGCTATCCCTGCTCCAGTGTCTCACTGGACAACCAGGCATCCTGCCAGACCAATGTTCCTAAAGCACAGATTGGATGGTGTCACCACTACCCCAGGATAGCATCTAAAGTACAAGGCCACGCATTTGAGACCCTCTGTACTTTCTCTGCCTCCCCTACCCAGCTCCTGTGATTCCCTGAACCCACTTTACTGTTTTTCTCCTTCTCAAACTTTTGTTAGGTATCCTTCCTCTGCTGTTATCCCAAGTGCCCTCCCCTTCCTACCCATTTTTCTGGGCCCAATTCCAAAGGCCTCCAGAAGCTGTGAACCTCTTGGCAAGGAGGGCATCTATCCTCTGAATTCTTCTGCACAGCCCTTGTGTGCTTTTCACACAATTAAAAGTGCCTTCTTGACTACATTAATTTATCTTCCAAGCCAGGATGTGCTCTTCGAGGATAAGGATTGCTTTTATTTATTTATTTTTTAAATACCCCTTCTCGGAGCCTAACCCAGGGCCTCAGTAACTACTTCTGGAATGCTTCAATGGTGAGTTTTGATTCTATCACAGAACTCATCATATTTTGTTGTATTATTATAATGCATTGGTCAATTACAATTCTACTCCAAAGGCCACACTAATGAAATAGAAACAACTCTCTGATATGAACCTAAAGGCGAAGTATCTATCTATATAATATATGTTATGCATTGGTTTTGGGAGAGCCTGGGGAGATCTGGGTATTTTAACTACCTCTACCCCTTCCATGACTTCACTCCCACCTCCTCCAGCCCCACCCCACTCACTCTATCTCTTTCATCACCTCCACTCCATCCCACTCCTATTCACTTTAGCCTTTTAGGTGTCCCTAGGACTTTCACTTCCAAATTCTTTCCAGTCTTTCCCATATTCTTTCAGACAGGGAGAGGTAGTTCTTTCATTATTCCAGCTGCAAGATGCATCTGGTTGCAAGGTGTATCCCTCAGGCAATTTCGGAAATGCCAAGGCTACCCTAATATCCAGAGTGATGATTCTGGGTACTCATGAGCTAAACAAATCTATAATTAATACAAGATCTGGGATATTTGGGCAAGTTTCAACTATATAACAGCAGCTTCCAGCTCAAACACAGAGATTGTATGTTCTTATTTTTAAATTGATCTATTTTCCTGTTTTTTTTTCCCTAAAATATAATGGATTTTAATGTTTTAGTGATTGTTTATTTACACAGAAGGGAGAACATTTATTGAGTACCTTTAGGTGCCAAGTACTGTGCTAGATACTTGAAATATGAACTTCATCTTATCTTCACAACAACCTTAGGAGACCCATTGTTCCATTTCACAGATGTAAAACTGAGGTCAATAGACATTAAGTGATTTTCTCAAAATTATGCGGTGAATTTGTGGAGATAGAATTCTGTTAGTCCTTTTAATAAAAGCTAATACTCTTTTAATTATAGTATGCTGTACCCTCAAGTTAAACCCAGAAGTTGATTATACTTCATCTTCTACTTCAAAATAGAGATCACCAAAAAGATGTAACCTCAGAAAAAAGAACTTTTTACATTCGTAAAAAAAAGAAGCATCACTGGGCACCAAAAGTGCCACCATCGTTGATCTCAGGATCTCAGTTGTTGGCGCAATTTTCCTAAAAAGAGCACTGAATTGACTCAGTATCATGTATTACCTGCTCAACCAACACAGCACCTCTTTACACCATAGCATAATCACCAAAAATAACCAACTATTAAAATAAACTCACAACCTGATAGGTTACTTGAAGTTTCTTTCTAGAAAATAGGCGCATGGTACAGTGGAGCAAAAACAAAAGACTCCAGATTTCACAAAGATGTCTAGTTTTACATTTTGATAACATGTCATTGAACTGGCCATACGGTTAAAGTAAACTATCAAATAAACAATAAAGGATAAAAGTATCCTGTAAACAAGTAAACATGTTAGTCCTTCCCCTTTAAGAATTTTAAATACGGTCACATCTATTCATTCAACAAACATTTATTGAGCACCAACAACTGTGCTAGATGCTAAGGAATATAACTGTGAACAAGATAAACCAGGCTCCCACCATGACTGGACACTGCTGCTTTAAATATTCTTGCTAACTACTTGTTCTCTGCTAATATTTTATTTGGGGGAGAGTCAGAAGTACATGAGGCCTCTTCTGAAATACTTTTAAAGTTTCTTTATGGCAAACTCGGTAGAAATCTCAGTTAAATTTATAGAAACAAGAGATGGCCTGGAGTATCTTTTCAACAAGCACATTGAAGGCTGAGTTAGCTTTCAAGCCATATGTTGGAGGGCTACCAAAGAGGCAGTTTAGACCATTCGGGTGCGCTTGTGGGTTGGAGAGTCTGAGATGCCATCACCGCACTGGTCCGAGGTGCGTTTGCGCGTCCCCTCAATGTCCAGGCGGAGGGCCAGTTCTTCTGAGTCGTTGGAGTTCAAGCCGTCCTCAAGGATGCTACTTTTTCGGAGCCCGCCACTAGCGTAACTGCTGGCAACGCCACTGGCTTGAGGCGGGGAGCCGGGTGCTCCAGATCTCACGCTGATGCTTGCCATGGCACCACTGAGGCCATGCAAGGCGACAGCCTCGTGGAAGGGCTGCAGGTCGACGTCCACCGACGAGCTGGATTCGGTGGCCGTGGCCTGGCTGGGGGCTCCGGTGGGTGGCTTCGGGGGCGTCCTAGGGGAGCGAGATGGGGGAGGAACAGGGGGCACTTTGCCACACAGGAAGCTAATCAGATCTTCTCGGAGAATGGTGCTCCGGCCCTTCTTCGCCCACTCCAGCACATCTTTCATGCGACGCTGGTGGCCAACCTGCACACCCAGGTCAAAACTTCGTTGATGGGCATCCCCGCTCTCTTTGTAGAGGCTGGTGACGGCCATGGCCGCACTCTGGAAGGGGTCCCACATAGAGAGTTCTGGCTGTGGGCACCCCGAATCCTTGTAGAGCTGGGCCACTGCGGTGGCCGAGATCTGAAAGAGGTGCCACAGCCTCTGCTGCTCTCTCTTGAGCCCCGCTGCCTCAGCGGTCGCCTCGTCCTGCAGCTCGGGGGGCAACTGCTCTTCCTGCTCGGCCTCGGCCAAGCACTGGCGCTCCCACTTGGAGAACCAGTGTTCCGCGACCCCGGCCTCGCCCTCCTTCGGCTGCTCCTCCATCCTTCTCCTCCTGGCCGCTGGCCTCCTGCTCCGCCTTCTCCTGCTCCACCACCGCCACCTCACCTCCTGCTCCGAGCTCCCCTTCTCCTTCTGCGGCCACCACCTCCTCCGCGTGTGCCGGCGGCGGGTGATCGGGCAGTGGGAGGGGCCCTGCGGCCAACTGCCGCGGTGCGCTGCCCGCTGTCTGGGTGCTCGCCCCGCCCCGCCCCGCCCCGCCGGGTCCGGCCCCCAGCTACGCCGCGGAGATAACTCTGCAGCCGCCGGCGCCGCCTCGCTGCCACCTTCCGGCCCCACGGTCCGCTCCTATGGCCCCCCCATGGCGCTGCGGCCTCCCCGAAGCTGCCGCTGCCGCCGCCGCCGCCGCCACCGCCTCGGTCACCGCCGCCGCGGTCCCGCAGCTCGGCCCCAACCCCCTCTCCGCCGCGGCCGCTACACCTAGAACTCAGAAGGAGGCCAGCTGGAGTGCTGCCTCAACACCGCGCTTGCCTACTGCTTGGCCCCCTTTTCACACATTTTTGAGACTTGTCGACTTCATCCAATGAGCTGATCAAATTTTACATCCTATGTTGCCAGAGAGGATTATGGGGCAACTTCACAGTGTCGATCACATCCAGGGCGCCGATCCGGGAAGGCCAGGGGGTAGAGTGGAAGGAGCACAGACCTCGTGAATAGGCAGGCATTCTGAATCCCAGCAATACTCTCCACACATTAGGTGCCCAAGAAAAGTGTTTTCCGTGAATCGAAGCAATACCTTGTGGAGAGAAAAAAAGATCATATCACACGACCCCTCCTCTCAGCCCCCCGCACGTCTTGGGTCTCAGTTTCCCCAAGTGCCCAATGAGGTTGTTGGATGAGGTCACTGGAAGGTACTTCCAGTCGTGATTTAGAACTTTACTTCTGTCCCTGCAAAGCACATCCTCCGGGCTAGTTGCACACTTAACCGAATTCTAAGTCGCGCTCCGAAATGGTATTGATTTTTTTTTCCTTCGATATTTTTGCAAAGTCTTTTTGTCAATAAAAAACGGGTTGAGGTTTTCTGTGTGATCTACTTTCAACTATTGAAAATTCCAAGTTGAAGAAGTAAGAGAAAAGAAAGAAAATGAAATCCCAAACACGAGATTTTCTGCTCTAGTGTAAAATTCAGTACTTTTTAGGAAAAAAAAAAAAAACTTTCACTAATTTCCAACACGCTAAAAAGTCTAGCTAGTTAAAACATCATAATAATACAAAACTTAAGCTTAAAAAGATATATGATACTAAAGTCTTTTTCCTTGAGTTCAATAACAACCCCCTTTTTCAGTGGTGACAATTCCACAGCAAACTGTGTCCAGAAGAAAAATTAGCACTGAGCCAAAATAACATCAAAAACGGGAGGAAAAAACATAATAATTTTTTGAATTTAGGGAAAAAAGTTAGAATTCAGTTTTTGTAGAATATTTGCTAAGTCTCCAGAAAGCCTTACAATTTAGATAAAGAAAGCTAAATCTTCTAGCAAAATGAGTTTGTTTAATAATTCCCAAATATGAAAATTAGTCTTTAAAATAAAATGATCTGATAATTAAGCTTTATCATCATCCTTTAAAAAATTACATGTTTCCAAAATATGAAAGAGAGGAAGAAGAAGAAGAAGAAGAAGAAGAAGAAGAAGAAGGGATTGTGCGCTTTCTCAGCAAACTGGGCTTTTTCACGATTCATTAAACCCTTTTTCCATATGTGTAATTGGACTCTTCTCATTTACATAAAGGAGGGACGAGGCAAAAGACCTAAGATCAGCCCAAAAGGAGAAATACATTTCTCATTCTATGTTAAATAATACTGTAGACGAAAACTCCAAGAAGGCAGAGCTCCCCCCACCTCTCCGCCCCAAACACACAACCCACATATACCAGCCCTGAGATAGCTCATGGCCAAGGGAGTTAGCGGGTTTGCCAGAGCCTTGAAGATTGCCCTACACACAGTGCCTCACAGTACTTATCAGGAACATGTTTTTATTTTATCTTCTCTAAGTAAAAAGCTTAGACTGAAATGACTGACAGTAGAGCACTGTATCCTATTTTCTCTTCTCATTTCTGATTGGCTTTAAAAAAAAAAAAAAACAAGAAGAAAGACGGCACTGTCTTTGAAAGAGCACAACCCTCTGCTTGGGCTTGAGTTGTCTGGCTGGTATTCTCCTTTCAGTTGGATTCAGCACCTGATTAATTAGTTAATTAGTACTTAGAGCTGACTAGCCCCGGTCGGCAATTTTCATGCCCTGCATGGTGAAATGTTGAATCCAGCATTGAAATTTCTGTCGCACACCCTAATTATTATCACCCCACTACTTTTAAAGCCATTGCACCAAATTATTATAATAGACAGAGCCAGACAACTGTGTGGGAATATGTTCTTTCTGAGAAATAATGGTAGACTTAATCAATATTTTTCACTGTTGCCCTTAACACATTTAAATAAAACAACTGAATGGGAAAAATTCTAATTCAATTAGCCTCCAACTTCTTCCATAGAGAAAATGATTTTATATGGAAATATGTTAGAAAAAGCACACTAAAAAATTGTAATGTTTCATCCATTTCTCAGATTGCAAAAAATATGTTTACAAGATATCATATCTGAGAGTAGTATTTGTTCCTATGTGTCTAAAGTGTCAGGAATTTTTTTTTAAAAAAAGAATAGAAAATAGAAACAAAACAAAACAAGATCATTTTAAGTAGCTGTAAGAAATCATGTTCTCTGTATGTACGGGGTAGGGGACTTTTGATGTTTAAAAATACTGACATAGTTTAAGAATGAGTTTTTCTATGGGAAAAAAATATTCCTTGGCCACTTCCCCATTCTTCCATAAATTTGATGTCATGGCTAATGTTAAGTACCAACTAGGGAAAAATAGTTTTAGAAAATAAGTTAGGACATAAACCTACAGGAGTCTAATTTTTAGCATTTCTCAATATACTGTTACCAAAAAAGGGTCCCAGCGTGTCAATGATTTTCAACATTATTGGTAGCTATTTTCACCTGAAATAATCTTATATATCAGTAGTGAGTTGCCTGTAATTGTAAGAGCTAAATGGTACACAAAACTGGATACACAACCACACAGATCAGTAAATGGGTTGGACTGAAAGCAAAAGTAAACACCAACCTTAGGAAATGAAAGAAGTTAAAAGATAAGTGTTAAGGACCTTATTCTTTTTGGAGAATAAAACAAGATTTAGTAGCTTTCCACTTAATTTAAATGAAAAGAATCACTACCTTACATATTGCAGTGATAATGTAATGGGGAAAGAAAACAAAAAAGTCTTTGTACAAATGACACCTCCTATAGTTGTTGTGAAGAAACTTTTCCCCTTGGTATCTGCTAACAAATTCTAATTAATGCTGCACATTCCTTTACTGAAATCATTTAATGCGTAACAAGGGGGGTAAAAAGAAATGCTGAATGCTCGTGATTGCCCTGTTAGAATTATGGGAGTGAAAGCCTGGGGCCCCAAACTTACTGTCTATTAAAGCCAAGCTTTGAAAAAGAAATGCAACCTACAAAAGCTGTCAATCTCCCTTGCCCCTAAAGCCTGGGTTCACATGGATTCAAGTGACAGCCCTCCTCCCCCATGCACAATACATCAATCTGTCTCTCCCACAAGCACCCACAGCCCATTGTGCTGGCCGCAGGTGCCTATTATGGCACCCATGGCTGCCTCCCACAGCTCCGCCCCTGAGAAACAGGAACTACAGACAATGGAGCCCTGTGGGAAGACAGAGGTGGGTGTTGGGAGGGATAGCAGACAGATGGTAAAGGGTATAGGGTAGTAAGGTAGTTTCAAAACAAATGTCAAACATTCAAAATTATTACTTTCACATGTCTCCCCTTTTGTATTGCCTTTGCTTCAATCACCATCTGCCATAATCACAAAAACACTTACCTGTTATAATGAATGTTTGCTCCCCTTTTTGTGTGGTTGTGGAAGGGATGATCTTCAATACTCTACCCTCCTATTTAGCCTCTAGGTTTCTCAAGGTCACAGACAGGAGTTTTAGTTAAGTGACATCAGTAGAACAGGGGAAAGGAGGAAGATTTCTGGGTTTTTCGTTTTTTTTGTTTTGTTTTGTTTTTTGCAAGGTTTGTGATTTCCCCTCAAGCTTAGTTTTGGGCTTCTTAAAAGGCAAAGGTTATAAAAATTCGTTACTTCGGATAACATTTTTGTGAAATCAAAGTACTATAAGACTTATAAATGTCGAATCAGGCAGGTGGAAATTCTTAGGGCATTTCTTTTCTGGTAAAGTGTCACATAAATGGAGATGAGGTGGATTTAATAATAAAAGTAGTGAAGGTTTCTGACTAAACCTCTTTTTCTATTTCCAAACATGTTAACAAAAATAAGTAAAATTGTAAAAAAAATACTATTCACATCAATTGCCATTATCAGAAAAAAAGTACATTTTAAACATTTCATTTCATAAACTGTCACTTGTGTATGGTATTTTTAATCTTCTGAGTTATGGACTAATTAAGAAGCAATAAATTGAATAATTAAGATATGTGCCAAAAACACATATATTAGTTCAAGTAATATGATTTAGCTGCTTTTGCCCTTTATCATCTCAATATACAATCCTATTTCCAGGATAATTTGTCATAAATTAAAACGAAGCTAACAATAACTTCATCACTACCACTACCACCTATCTCAAACAAAAACGACCAAAGAAAATCTGGCACAAAAATCTATAAGTCATGGTCAAGAGGACTGGTGACTTGTTAGGAAGAGAGTACTGCCAAAATAATGCCAGGGACTAAAACCAGCCAGTTTTCCTGAAGCAAACAAGAGGGTCTTGGTTTGCTGTCAAAAACTACGAACTAAGCTTTAACTAGGGACTGTCAGAGATCCAAATGAGCTCCTGGCCAGGGAGAGCTTAATTAGAAGAGTTGGTTTGGGTTTTTTAAATTACACAAGAAAAACAACCAATACAGTATGAAAGCATACAGTGGTCTAATGTAGCACAAA